ACTCAACAGTGTTTTCAAATACTTAACACGCTCCCAGTGTCTCTTCTGAATGCCGGGTGGAGAAGACATGAACCCTGAAGCCCTACCATCAAGCCAGGGCTGCCTGGGACTTTCAGGGACATTGTCCCTAGGCAGCTTTGCCGCAGTGTGGTGAAATTGCACCACACAGGAAAATCTCATTGGGGGCTGATCTTTACCAGCCAGGGAACTGAGAAAGTTACTTTACCCAAGGCCATTCATCTGGTGGGGAGCTGGGCTAAAATTCAAGAAAAGAAAGTGCTCCTCTCTGCCCTCCACAGTTGAGCAGGCCTCTGGCCCCCCATCCTGGGGTGTCTCAGACATCTGCTTCCTCAGGGCCACCTAGGTCCTCCACACTGAGGCCAGGCCACAGCCTCTTTGTGGGGCTTAGCAGGGAATCTACAACAAGGCGGGATAGAGCTGCTCTCCTCTCCCCAGAAGAAGCCAGCTGCTTAGGGAAGTGGTGCAGGCCTCCACCCAGGTCCCTTACGAAGATATTAAATGGCATGGATGCTACCAGCAGCCGTTCTTAAGGCCTCTTTCTTCTCTATGGAGAGAAGGGCCTGTTTATTGTCTGGGACTCAGCTTCTCTCTGCTATCACACAGCCCTTTCAAAAGCTTTTGAAAGTCCAGGTAAAACCACCACCTACTCTTTAGCTATAGAGTGGTTTGTTACTTCCAAATGTGCCTTCTCCAGGCACACAAGGTGATGTCCGTGGCAGGTGATTTTAGCACATGTTCACATATTCCATTTTTTGGCTTAGTAAGGAGGTAAGGGTAATTAAAAAAACAATGGTGCTAATAATAAAAGTACTGATAATTACAAACACTGACATTTATGGAATCTTATCAAGTGCCCAGCTCTATGCTAAGCTCTTTTGAGGGAATTGATCTCACTTACCATTTTTTTTAAAATTTCAGATTAATATGAGGGTACAGCTGATTAGGTTACATTGTTTGCATTTGTTAGGCAGATTCCAAGTTGTAGTTGTGCCCCTCCCCCAGGCAATGTGCCGTATACCCTTACGTTGTGCCAGTTAAGTGACAGCACATCAGTCCTTCCTCCTCCCTCCTTCTCCTCTCCCTTCCCTCCCACTTGAGTTTAATTGTATCTCACTTATCTGAACAACTAAGCTTTTATTTAGCATATAAAAAAAACTGAGGCTAACCCCCTGATTAACCTGCCAAGTGACTGTCCAAGGATTAGAACCCTGAACCTAACTCTTAACCAGCACTCTAAGCTTCATCCTATCAGTGTCCTGCAGATCTTAGAAGAAGGGCCCGTGCAACCAAGAACGACAGAGAGTCTAAGACAGTCCAGTCCGAGTCCTCATGGGCATGCAGTCCAGAATCCATTCCAGGCATAACTTTCCCTCTTCCCCTCGCTCTGGAATCAGCACACACTACAGCAGGAAGAGGGCTCATCCTTGGTTATCAGAAAGCTTTGCAATAAGGCTGGGCATGGTGGCTCCCACCTGTAACCCCAGCACTCTGGGAGGCCACAGTGGGTGGATTGCTTGAGCTCAGAAGTTTGAGACCAGCTCAAGAGGGAGACCCTGTGTCTGATAAAAAGAGAAAACCTAGCCAGGTGTTGTGGTCGGCGCCTATAGTCCTGACTATTCAGGAGGCTGAGGCGGGGGATTGCTTGAGCCCAAGAGTTTGAAGTTGCTGTGAGCTATAATGCCACAGCACTCTATCCAGGATGACAGAATGAGATTCATCTCAAAAAAAAAAAAAAAAAAAACAAGAAAAAAAAAGACAAAAAAAGAAAGCTTTGAAATATACAAAAGCAGCAAATGCCAAGCAAAAATCTCCATGTATGTTCTTTCACTATATATTTTCCTTCTACTGACTGCGTCCTGGAATCTGGGAAATGTCCAATCTCTTTCCATGCCCAGGTATTTCCCTGATTCATGTACCTAAGATGAAAGGGTTAAAAGCAGACTTGCTGGAGCTTATTATTTTAATCCAGGATTATGATGGCTAGAGAAAAAGGCCACTCTGTCCTTCTGACCTCCCTAGCTAGGAGAGAAGTGGTGGTTCTCTTGACCTGCCTGGCTGTGGGGAGGTGAAGTCATAGCTAAGCTTGTCCCTCCCCCAGGAACCTGGGACCATCCACTGCCCTCTGTCCTCATGAAGCAGTTTAAGATGCTGGTGGTTGGAGGGGTGGGGGGGTAGCAAGCTCTGGCAGAGCTCTAGTTTTCCCCACAATTAGCTCTGCGCCTCCTTGAGGGCCAACATCTGTGATGTGAACTCCCCCAAGAAAGGATTTTAAAATCGTGCACCCCACCTTGTGCTGTATCAGACCACATGGGCGAGGATCCAGACTCCCACGGTAGCAGTGTGAGTCCTCTCCCCTCGCCAACTCCCACTGTTTGTAGCTGGCCAACGAAACTGAGGCCCAAGGAAGAAAAACACTTGGCCACCTTATTCTTTTGCCCTCCCTCCTGAGCTACTGAGCCTCTGGAGTACAGAGGCTTCTGCTTTCAAGAGAGAAGCCGAAAAAGCTGTCTGTTCTTGAATGGGAGTTGCCTTTGCCTGCCCCAACCCTTCTAGGAAATTTCCAGAGTGACTGTAGGAGGTGGGATTGGGGCTTCTAGTCTCCAATGGGAAGGGGTTGGTTCCAGGGCTGTGTGCTCTTGGCAGAGGCTGGGGTCAGATTAGACTGGGAAGTCTCCCTCAGATGGAGGGAATCTCCACCTGTCAGCTGGGAGGGGTTGGGTGCCCGTTGGGTGGACCAGGGTGATGTGGTGGTGGGAGGTGGGCAGTTAGACTGGGACAGGCTCAGCACCCGTGACACAGCACCTGCTTGCCCCCCACCTCCACAGGGCTGGTCAGGGCCTCCCTTCCCCAGGGTGCACAGTGAGGAGGAGTCATCTGCTTGGCTGACCTTGTCTGCAGTCTGTGAAGGTGACTGCCACTCCTCCTGGCTCAGCGTGTTAGTGCATGGATGCCTCCAGGCTCCTAAAAAGCCCTGCTTTTCTAATCAGGGGAGAAACCAGCTTTGTCTGCCAGGAATTGAAGCAAGGCAGCTGATGGGAAAAAAATAGTAACGGCTCCAAGTGGAGGGAGCAGAAAGGAAATAGCAAAGCTGGAAAATGGCTTAAAAACCTGGGGGGCAAGGCTGATCCTGGCAGCATCTGGCCAGCTGCCTGGGGGCCCTCCTGCCTGCCCACCAGGTCTTGTGACAAATGCCCTCCGACAGCCGTGGAACCACAGCTGTCACCGGAAGGCTCTGGGCTTTGGGCTGGCAGCCAGAGGCCCACGGCTGCAGGGGAGCCTCTCTGGGCTGGTAACCTCATTATCTCTGCTGTTGGAGCGGCAGCCCCAGGGAGCACAGCTGCTCTCAGCCGCCTCGGAGGAGCTGCTTGCTTGGGAAGCTGTGCAGAGGGAGGCCTTTCCTGCCAGCGGAGGCTTCCTGGGGCAGTGGGCCTGGAGATTCACTTTCACATCGCTCCAGGAAAGCCCGCCTTGTTCCAGAGCTGTGCCTGAGCCCTGCCAGGGTTCACAGGCACAGATGGGGCCTTTCTTCTAGCAGTCTCCCTGCCCCCACCATGGTCCCAAACTGGCCCCAAAGCAGGGTTAGATGCAAATAATGAGAAGAAAAAGAGGAAAAAAAGAAAAGAAAATACCATAGGTTGCCTGGAGCTTATCCAAGGATGCCCCAAGTCCCTGGAGGACTCAGAGATGGGCCATTGTCCGCTCACATCTTTGTCATCCAGGAAACTGCCTGGCTCTATCAGGAAAAGCCCCCTTTTCCATGTGGCATAGCGGGTGGGCTGGGTGGGCTGCAGGCCTGGCTGAGCATCTGTCTGCCTGAGTTCTATGGACCCTCGCTATAGGGAACAGCCCAGCATGTGTGACAGGGAGGACAGGAGTAGCTACCGGGGATGCTGAAGTTACCTATGAAAATGTGTCTGCCCCAGCCACAGACATCCTCGGCCTGCCCCAGGTCCCGAGAAGGGGAGAGGACAAAGGGGACGAGAATGATTCCGGAGGCAGTGGGGCTGGCTGTCGCCTGCTCTGCTCACAGTGATGTTCGACCTTGAGCAGCCTGCCAGTGTTCCTCTCTGCCCTGGACACGCTCATCTGTCAAACGGAGGGAACACCTGCCCTTGGCCAGCCTGGCTGGGAAAAGCAGGCTCTGTGGAGAACAACGGCTCGTCCGTGGGAGGTTGTGGGCTGCTGTTCGTGCGGCGACCCAGTGTGGGCTGTATGTCACCGTCTGGGAGACAGCTTTGAAAAAGGGCTGCTGTCATTTTCTGCAGCTCTGGACTGGCCAGGGAGGCAGCACGTCTGGAAGGTGGTGAGGGCTGGTAGAAGACCTTTGTTATTATGAAAATCAAGCCATTTGCTGATTTGGCTTGAGTCCAGCTTAATTTCTCCCAGCCCAGAGCTGATGCCTGACAGGTTTGGATTAGGATGAAGGCAAGAACACACCAGGGTTTATAAAAGTGCCATTTCCCCCAAAAGGCCAGATCTGCAGTGGACAGAGCCCTGGTTCCTTGTCTGTGCGGTGGGAGCTCAGGATGGCGCTGTGTGTGGGTGCAGAGAGACAGAAGGAGGGAGGTGATGCGTGTAGAGACCATCTGTCTGGGCACAGGCCCAGCCCGACAACCCCAAGCCCTTTTCTCCCTCCTCCTCCCAGATAACTCCCGCTGTCTGCCCAGGGAAGGAACAATAGAATAATCTGGAGACTCTCCTACCCTTTTCTAGACCCTCCTGGGGTCTCTGCTTCTGGTCCCGGAGCATATGTCCGAGGCCAGGCCAGCCCCCTGCCCCTGTCCAGAGCCTCTCAGGACCATTTCCCAGACCCCAGGCCCTAGGCTGGGAGCCTTCTCTGTGGGAGCTGGAGGACGGAGGCTGCCATGCAGGGCTGTTCCTGGAAGAGCCAGTGCTTGACACTGTTAAAGCCCTCCTAATCCATGTTATTTTCTTCTAATCCCGCCCCTGCCCGCCCTGGCCTGTGTGCCCCACTGCAGGACCTTTGGTCCAAAGCTGGAGCCCGTGCTGAGCCCCAGGCATGAAGAAGCCAAGCACCTGCTGCAGCGTGCCCGCATGAAGGCCCGGACCCGGCCCCTCCGCGCCAGCCATGACATCGTGCCCACCACTGCCCTGGGCAGCCGGTGAGTGGGGCCGGGAGGGCCATGGCAGGGAAAGGCAGACAACAGGAAGAGGTGGGATCTAGCTAGGTGTGGCTGCTCGCTCCTCCCTGCTGTGTGTGGGTGGGTATCTTCCACATCAGGCACTGGCTTCAATCACTCAGTCAACATACCTTCACTGAGGGCCTAGTGAGTGCAGGCCATTGAGATACAAAGATGAATGAAACATGATCAGAACACCCTGGGCGATTGGTTGCGATGGAGGTCATAGTCTCCAGGGATAAAGGCAAACAAATACTCAGTTGTGGTGTAGAAGGAAAAAAAGCTTCCTGCCAGGCTGGAAACCAGTAACTCCACCTGGAAAGGACAAGTGAGGCTCTCAGCAGAAGCGGCTTCTAAGTTGAGGCTGGAAGGAGATGCAGATATTCCCTGGGTGATAAGAGAAGCAGGGATGAGCCTCCTGGGGGCAGCATGCTCAGGAGTTCAACCAGGCTAGAGTGGAAAGACATGTGGGCTGTCTGCATGAAGTTCAGGAGCTCAGCAGAGGCCAGTCATGCAGGCCCCTGACCTGTTGAACAATTTGGATGGCTCCTGTAATTGCTAGGCGCCTCTGGAGGGTGTAGGCAGGTGGGCAGCAGGATCACATTTGCCTTTCAGTAATGCTAATGCCATTGCCATTCCGCTGTGGAGCTGTGTTGCATCTAGGAGACTGGGGCAGTGAGGAGGGTGTTGTGGTGTTGGTGAGAGGTACAGAGTGAGGGAGAGTGAGGAGATTTTGCAGAGATCCCCCAAAACCAGAAGCAAGCAGGCTTGAGGCAGCAGAGAAGTTATAACACTGGGAAACAGACTGCCAGGGTTTGGATTCTGGCTCTGCCACTTAGCTGTGTGCCTCTGGGGAAGTCTGTGTCTGTTTCCTCATCTGAGGAATGAGGATTATAATCATGCCCATCTTACAGACTTACTGTGGGGCTTGTATGAGATAATAGATGTAAAGTTTAGAACAGCACCTGGCATGTAGTGAGCGCTGGAAGACTGTTTCTGTTAATCACGTGATTGTGTGGATGTGGGAGGGAAGAGGAGGCATGTAGAACAGAGCCCAGGGTTCTGAACTGGTGTCTGGATGCTTTGTGTGGGGAAGGGACCTTAGCCAAGGGGTGAAGCCCAGGCATGAGGACAGGCTTTGGAAGGCGAGGTGTCCTCAGAACATCCGCAGGAGAGGCCCATCAGGCAGCTGGACACAGGGTCTGTAGAGAAGGGAGATCAGAACCAAAGATGGGGTACTATCCCTGATTTCATGATGCTGGAGCCACAGCGGGGTGAGCTCATCAGGGTTGAAGAGATGGGGAAAAACAAGTTCCAGGACATTCAGATGAGCACATCACCTCTTCCTGGGGAGCACTCCCCTTCCCCATCATTGTGCCTATTCCACCCACAATGCTCCTTAGAGAACCACTTACACTAGGAGTGCTCCACCAAGCAAAGCCAGCTCCTGGTGGTGCACCCGGGCCTGAGATGAGACTGCCAAGCCATGCAAACCCCAGCAGGCCCGAGCAGGACCATCTCTGCAGCTGACAAGGCCTGTGGCTTCACTGGCACTCTGGGCATGCTGGATCTACCTGTTTCATCACCACGTGGCACCAGAGGGAGAAAGGATTGTTACTGGAAGAGGTACATGTGCTTTTTGATGGAGGATGCTGAGCTGCTCACTAAAAGCTAAGGACGTTCATGAGACCATCAAGATGGCTTCATCATGAGCAGAGGCCTCTGTGTTCGGTGTCCTTGTGACCCTTACAGGAGGGGCTCAGAAGACTCCAAATCCAAATCCTGGCAAGGGTGCCAAATAGTCTACCCTTTCATTTCCACATGTTGTACCTGTCCCTTCCTCTAGCTGGAGGACACGAGTTAGGAATGGGCTTCTTTGAGGCCTTTATTCTTCTCTTCTTATACATAGGGAGAAGCCGTAGACTTCCAAGGAACCCGCCCGTTCCACTTTCTATAGGTATTTAGGCTGGGAAGCCTCAAAATAGTCAAGATGATGTGCAAAACAGGCTCCATTATGTAAGTGTCCTCTTGGACACTTCCTCTTCTCCAAATCACTCCAGCAGCTCACAAAACCCTCAATCGCCAACTTTAAAGTAGGTTCCCTTTTGCCACACTGTCCCTAGGCCGTAGAAATGCTATAGAAATGCAAGGTGACCCACTTTAGCAGCTGCTCTGTCCAGAAAAGAATTACCATGACTTGGCAGCGCTGGTGAATCCTCAGAGAGTATAGCTGAAAAATCAATGCCAGATGGCTTGCTGCAGATGCTTCTAAAGGTTACGCTCCGTCAGATCACCCTGGAGGCCGTGCTGAGTTAACATGGCAATGCCACATGGGCCCCAGGCCTCAGTTAGGTGCAGGAAGCCCCTGTCCCCTGCCCAGATGCATTGCTCCTTCCAAAGAGCAGCTTGGTGAAAAATGATGGAAGAGTAGGGCAGGCAGAGCAGGCTCCGGAAGGCCCTCTTTGTCCTCCATCTGGCGGGAGGTGTCTGGGGCAAGCCTGACCAGACAGGGCTTTTCCAGGGGGGTGAAAAGGTAGCTGTAGCTGTATTTTCTGGAAGCAAATCAATGTAGAAATGGGGCAGCTTCTCCTGGAAGCACAAACTCTTGCCATTTGGGGGGTAGGCAGACCCAGATTGGTGTCCCTAATCACAGGACGGCTGGCTGTGTCAGCAAGATGCAGGGATGGAGAGGGTGGTGTTGCCCTGTGACAGATAGCAGCTGTGTTAAGACTCTGCAGGGCTCGCTTCCATCACCTTGATTGTGTGGTTAGGACAGCATTGTTGTAGAGCTCACCAGGAGCTCTTCACAAAACTGTACAATTGGGCGGCGCCTGTGGCTCAAAGGAGTAGGGCGCCAGCCACGTATACTGGAGGTGGTGGGTTCAAACCCAGCTCTGGCCAAAAAACCTACAAAAAAAAAAAAAAAAAAGCTGTACAACTCTAGGACTATAGAGAGACTGAGCTCAGGCCAGAGTCTTCCTAGGGCTGACTGCGAGGCACATCTTGAGGAGCTCGGCAACCGTGAGATTTCCTTGCTGCTTCACCGCCCCACTTGCTGGGCACCTGTCTCCAAAGCCCTCACCCTGCTTTTATGCACTGGTGCTAACCCTGCTGGTGGGGGCTTCTGAGTTTGAACGCCTTACATGATTAAGCTCTCCTTAATTTCTCTTTTTAGAACAAAAGTGTCATTTCTACCCTTGCAGTGAATTCCAGGATGGCTCATTTCACCATCCTGGATGTAAAAGTTGAGGCCACTGATGTGGCACATGGGAAACATGCTATTTTTAAAGTGGGGCTTTTTTTTCCTTCCTAGAAATGACAGCCCACATCCTGTCAGCAGAGCAAGGCATTGGCCTGTGGGGCTTTTTTCGGGGTTGTTGTGTCTAAGCCGTGTGCAGAGTCTCCCAGTGGGCCTTGGCTGTGTCAGCTTGGCCTGGCTGGCAAGGGCGTCCTGCCTGTGGGGTGAGGGCAGAGGGCTCAGTGGGGTGCTTCTTGTTTTCTGGGGGGTGAGGTGATGCTGTTTCTCGGATTGAGCCTTTCTTCCTAGTCTATTGGAAGGGCAGGATGCCTCTGGGAAGCTGACCACGAACTCCACATAGCCAGCAACTCCCCAACAACTGAGATACAAGTATGGGGACCCCCAGAATCCTCACGTGTGCTCTTGGGCCTTGAGCTCCAGTGCTCCACAGTCACTAACAGAAAAGCCACAGGTACCTGAAGGACCTCCCCACCACCATGCTGAGCTGAGTACTGAGACCTTGCTCTGTCCCCACCAGCTGGTGGACCTGCTCAGTAACTTCCTTTCCTCAGCTATCAAGGCAGGGCTGCATGGCAACTGTCAGGGGGCCCTGGGTGCTCTTGCCTTCATGGGCCCCTTCCTCCATAAAAACGTTAAAGTCATATGACCATGCTGACTGAAAGAGGAGTATATTATCGTATATTAAAGTGTTTTCATTAACCTAGAAGTTTATGTTCTGTTTTTTTTTTTTCTTAGAGACAGAGTCTCTGTCACCCTGGGTAGAGTGCCTCAAACTCTTGGATTCAAGAGGTCCCCTTACCTCACACTTCCAAGTATCTGGGACTATAGATGCTTACCACAATGCCCAGCTAGTTTTTCTAGTTTTTAGTAGAAACAGAGCCCAGGGTCTCAGGCTGGTCCCTAACGCCTGAGCTCAAGCAATCTACCCTCCTCAGCCTCCCAAAGTGGTAGGATTACAGGTGTGAGCCACCATGCCTGGCTTATGTTCTGATTTTAAAAGAAATTAAGATAGTTTCATGGGCTCCTCCTCCCTAAGCACTGGTGCCCAACAAATAAGTCACCCCTGTCTGAATGTGAGTTCCAGAGGAAAAGGATTATTGATGCCTTTTCAATAGTCTTCAAAGCAACCCTTTTAAGCACCAGATGTGTTCAGATCTCAAAGTGGGAAAATCACTTGCTTAGCAATAGTTATTTTTTTCAAAAAATTTCCCCTAGAACACTGTGTATTGGGGAAGACAGCTAGAGTCAGGAGAAGGAGCAGGTGTGGAGGCACTTGCCTCCCGAGCCTGCTGCGCACCAGGGCAGTGCGGATGCTAGTGGATGTCTAGCGTCAGGCTCCAGGAGAGGCCCTGGTGTTTGCACTTCTAAGATGCATGATGTAGGAAGCCCTCGCCCCTCTTTGGCGGGACTCAGGGGCTAGGATTTGATGCAGTGGGACAGGGCCTTGGCTCCAGTTCACATCCAAGGATGGGTGAGCCCTTCTTTTCTTCTAGATTGGAGGCTTGGGGCCAAGGTTCGAGGTTGTAGTCTATCTGACACGGCACAGGTGAGTGGCCATAGCTGCTTCCTGTGGAGCTTTGCAGGGAGTCAGTCTTGGACAATTTAACTCTTATCTGTCAAGTCCACTGCCTGATCCAAGAGATCACCTCTTTCCATCATACTCTGCCTCATCAGCAACTCAATTCCAGCCCACTGGAGCTGTGAGGCTGGTTGATGGCTTCACTGTTGGGGTGTGGGGGTAAGGCAGGGGCATGGTTAGGAATGGTCAGTGCCACCACCAGCACATGGGTCATTTCACCTGAGCCATGACAGGCAAGACCATTTATCTACTTAGAACAGTCTGGAAGGGCACCTTGTCCAATCCGGTAAATGCCATACATAATTCTAGAAGTCACCCTGTGAAAGGCTGTTCTCCCTACTGGCTGGCATGTTTTAACAATCACTGTTAAAAGACGATTTCTTCCTGCTGTTATGCATACCCTTTTCCTTTTAATCGCTACCATATTTTTCTTTTTCCTGGGTAGCAGTAAACTGAGGTGAGGAAGGAATTCACATTAAGGCAGACTTGAGAGCATTCACAGCCTACTTCCAGAATCCCTGAGGCATTCTTTTAGAGGAAAGATTAGTAAACTCACAAATTGCTCACAGACATTTCTTCATACGTTGCTGGAGTATCTGGGCAAGGTTGAGCAAACTGTGATATGTTCAATGTGCTATTAGAGCAGAATTAAATTCTCTGGTTGAGGAGGTAAAGGTGGTGGATGAGGAGGGTGCCCTAAACATATAAAAGATGCCAGCAAAGGTAACTATCAGATCTGAATACTTTTGGGTGATTGCAAGGAAGGACAGTGTCTTCAAAATTCAGGTCCTTGTCTCCAGATATTGACCATCAGCCATGGTCAGTGTCTAGTTCTATTTTTAGTACTTTGAAGGGTAGACTAGGTGCTGGCATTGGTACGTAGCTTCCCATAGTGACCCAGTGATATTCAGCAATGAGGTCTGTAGCCCTTTTTTTAGGATAAGTTTGAGAACTTAATTGTCTGACCTCATATATACAGAGGTTTATTTTAAGGAATTGGCTCATATAACTGTGCAGGCTTGGCTAATTAAAAATCTGTAGGGTAGGCTGGAGGTCCAGAGGAGAGTTGCAGGTTGAGTCCAAAGGCAGTCTGATTGTACAATTCCTCTGTCTGTGTGCTATTGAGGCCTTCAACTGATTAGACGAGGCCCACCCACATTGTGGAGAGTAATTTGCTTTTTTCCAGGTCTACCAATTTAAATGTTAATCTTGTACAAGAAACATCAGAAACATCTAGAATAATTTTTTAATATCTGGGGATCATGGCCCAGCCAAGTTGATACATAAAAGTCACCATCACACATGGTATCTATACAACAGGTAAGATTTAATAAATAGGAGTCAAATGCAGGCAAATGCAGGGGTGAGGGCTGGGGAGCTGGAGAGGAGGCTAGGAAGGAATTCAGGGAATGCTTGCATTTTTATGACAGAGACTATGAACTTGATCCTGTGTGCTCTTGGGGGTGGTGTCATGAAACCTGTGCTCCAGGAGGACCCACAGACAGGATGTCTGTGGTGAGGCCGGGTAAGAGGCCACTGCAGGGTTCTTATGTGAGTGATACGAAGCTGTTAGTGAGAGAAACAAGAAATGATGTGAATCCTACACCCTTAGCAGTGGATTGGTAGGGAGGCCGCTACAGGGAAAATGAAAGAAGGAGTTTGGTCCTTACTTGTGGCCTCTGATAGTAAGGGGCCTGTGGGCCCAGCCCATTTGCATAGAGGCCTGAAACTCAGGCCACCGGCTCCAGGGAGCCCTGGTGTGAGACTTGTGTGGATGTCTTCTGGAGCAGAGCAAATCTTGACCACTAAGCATAGTGTCTCCCAGAGCCAAAGGTGATGACAGATGTGAAGGTGGTCTCCAGCACAGGAGTGCCATCGCCACTGAAGGCAGGGTGAAGTATGTGAGTATATTGAAGGCTAGAGAGGGGCAGCTGCGAGGAAGGGGTGTTATGACTGTCAAGACCAGGGTCGTGACTTGGCACCTGTAGCTAAGTGGTTAGGGCACCAGCCACATACACCAGAGCTGGCAAGTTCAAACCCCGTTGAGGCCAGCTAAACAACAATGACAACTGCAACAAAAAAATAGCTGGGTGTTGTAGCAGGCACCTGTAGGAGGCACTTGGGAGGCTGAGGCAAGAGAATCACTTAAGCCCGAAAGTTTGAGGTTGCTGTGAGCTGTGATGCCATGGCACTATACCAAGGCTGGCATAGTGAGACTCTGTCTCCAAAGAAAATAATAATAATAATAAGACCAGCATCGGAGGAGAAACATCAGCATTGCCTTGTCTAAATTTTGTCTAAGCAAGATAATTAAGAACCCTGAGTAGAAACTTTGGGAGCAAGAATGCTTAGAAATCCTGGCCAGATGGGGTGGCTCACACCTGTAATCCTAACACTCTGGGACACTGAGGTGGGTGTATTGCCTGAGCTCAGGATTTTGAGACCAGCCTGAGGAAGAACAAGATCCTGTCTCTAAAAGTAGCCAGGTGCTGTGGGGGGCACTGTAGTCCCAGCTACTTGGGAGGCTGAGGCAAGAGGATGGCTTTAGCCCAGTAGTTTGAGGTTACTGTGGGCTATGATGCCATGGCACTCTACCCAGGTTGAAAGAGTGACACTAGGTCTCAAAAAAAAAGAAAGAAAGAAAGAAAAAAGATAAAAAAAGAATTCTTAGAAATCCTGACTTTAGATCTGTCACAGATTCTGTGAAGACTTAAAATACCCTTTTCCCGTAAGAGCTTTATAGCAAATAAGTATTTCCACAATTCGTCACTAGCAGGCATGTGTGATGGTCAAGCTCACTTCCTCTCCTTGAACAACACACACACACACACATCCCACACACATGCCCTCAAGCACACACGAGGACTTGGGTCTCTTCCTTCGGTACAATCCTGGTTTGATAACGTTGCATCTTGTCTCAGCCTGGGCAGGGCAGCAGAGGGAAAGCCAAGCACTAACAAGGTTGTGCTGATTTCATTTAGCATCCATCTCCGGTCAGGATGGGCTTGTAAGTTACTCTGGTTTGCAGCCCAACTCCCAGAACTTGATCTGGGGTAACCTTGCCAGTTGCAGTTACCACAGAGCAGCTTGGGAGCCTGAGCCCCAGGGCAGAGGGGTCAGCACCTTCCTTCTGTCCTTTTGCCTGTGACCTCTCTCTTCCTGTCTCTTTACCAGAGATGGCCAGAGGAGCCCAGCCCCGGCCCCCAGGGTGCCCGCTGCCTGCAGAGACAGCCTCCAGAACGGGAACATGAGCGACTCCTCCAGCGGCGAGTCCAGCGCTGGGCAGCGGCCGCGGAGGGGCCCATCGCCCTCGCACGTCCGCTTCGAGGACGAGTCTGCCCGCGAAGCCGAATTCCGCTACCTGGAGCGGCTGCAGCAGCGCCAGCGCCAGGTGCTGGGCACGGTGCTGCAGGTGGCGGACCAGGGGCCCCTGCGCTCCAAGCCAGACCTTGCCGACTATATCAACGGGGGCCTCCGGCTCCGGGACCCGACGGAGGCAGCCTCGCACAGGCTTGAGGGCAGCCTGGACACCGGGGGCAGCGACAGGAAGTGCTGTACCTGCAGCGACTGTATGGAGGACTGCCACCCCACCCAGGGGAAAGCAACCCCCGACCCGAGGGTCCTCCAGGAGCTCCAGGCTGCCCGGGGGCTGGAGAGGGTGTTGATGGAGCCCCTGGGCTCCCGCGGCCTGTGCTCTCCGCTGCGGCTCCCCCCTGCAGAGCCACGGCTCCACACACAGTGGATCCGGGAAACCCACATTGGAGATACCGCGGGCCCAGAGGAGGCGGACTCTGCGCTGGACAGCACTGACACGGCATACAGCTGCAGGGCTGCCAGTGAAGAGGCCAAGACTTCTCAGGCCGGCAGGCCATGTGGGCAAACACAGGGCAGCAGCCCTGGACTGCCGGGCTCCAGGCTGCAAGCAGGCCACAGGTGGTCCATGACCCCGGAAATGGAGCTACCCTGGGGCCCCCAGGCCCAGTGTCACCTGTCTGGGGTTGATGGTGTGGAGGCGGGAGATGAGGTGAAAGAAAGCAGAGGACACACACGCAGAGGAACTCTGTCTCTGAGAGAAGATGCTGTCCGTAACCCTCCTGCCCTGGCATCTAAGCCAGCATCGCTGGGGGCCCAGTGGCAGCCAGGTGCAGGGCTGGGAGATCACTGGGTTCCCCCGGCAGAGTCCCAGGCTCCAAGCAGGACAGCCCATGCCATGACCTCTTCCATGAAGCTTGGGCCCTCAGGGCCAGTCAGTCAAGCCCGCATCATGGAAGGTCACAAGTCTGTTGAAATTGTCTCCACTTCCTCCCTGCAACAGACCGATGCAGAACCCTGTGCCCCCAACACCCAACAGCCAATGGCTTCCCTCTCCCCGCAAGGCTGGGTGCCAACCCCTCCACCTTCGAGGAAAACCACCTCCCCTCTGTCTCACAGGAAGGTAGCCCTGGCTGGATCCCGCAGGCTGGGTGACCAGGGAGAGCCTGTGAACTCTTCAAGAAGTGGGGTTCTCAGGACTTGTGGGCAGACTCCAGCACAAGCTCAGTCCTGCAGCCCCCGAGTTAGGCACCCGCTTCAGGGCCTGTCCACCAACAACTGCAACAACAGCGTGCCTTGGGGGCCACAGGAGCCCAGTGACCAAGCTGTCCATGAGGACAGGGTGGAGCAGGCCCCCTACAGCCAGGAGCTGGGGCTGCCCCAGGAGAACAGCAGAGATGGTGAGAGACTGCGGTTGGTTCATGCTCAGCATAGGCCTAGGGCTGAGGCCCAGGCAGGGTCTGTGACACACCAGCACAGCCACACACAATTCCCAGAAGCACCTTGGAGCCCCTCCCAGTAGTGACAGGTGTGGGGGAGCTGGTAGAGTCTGTGGGCTGGGTGCAGGATTCAATTCAATTTGCCTGGCAGCAAATTAACCACTTCCCGCTGGTGAAGGCAGAATGGTGGTAGGGAAGGGAGTGGTGACACCTTATGGCTGGAAACCCTGAGGTGTGTACAGAAACCCCAGGCTCTGTGGCCACTGGAGGCCTGTGCTTTCAGGGAATTTACTCCCTACAGAGCGTGAAGAGGCAGAAGCTCCAGGGTGTGCTATTTTTAGAGCAATAAATGCTCAGTAATCGCACAGGGGAGGCCCTTTGCCTTCCAGTTTTCACTGGTTCATTTGGTGTGAACTGGGCACCTGTTCTGTTCCGGGCACTGCTCTAGGCCCTGTGGGGGCTGTGTATGTGAATTACACCAGCAGGAGTCCTGCTGTGAGGCTTTCCCTGGCCATGCACGCTGTCTGGAGGATTCTTTGACCAGGGGACAGAGTGCCTGCACATGTGCCAGGATTATTCTCTGGTACCTGACCCTTCCTTACCTCCAGCCCTGCTGGGCAGGCCAGTAGGTTTCAACAGACAGCTGTTGAGGGTGTGGGCCTCTTTGCCCTGGGAAGGTCCTCAAATTATGGGCAACTCCTGGTGTCACTAGGCTCAGACTCTGATGCCCAATGTTCTGATCCCAAGTGACCAACACTGCCACTACTTTGTGCAGAGATGACAGGCCCACTCCATACATACTTGCTTTCCTGAGCTCATCCTACTGACATTCTAGGGGTTGGGATGGCTCGAGAGTGACTCTGGGCTCGGAAGCAGAGTGGAGGAAAAGAGAGCAGAGAGATGACAGACCACAGTGATGTTATTAAGGATGAGGATGCCACGTCCTCCCATCCCTGGGTATGCCTGCCATCCCTTCCTCCATGCATGAAGACGGACACTGTTCTTCTGCACCCCGGTTGAGGAAACAGGCCTCACCCTGGGGTCCCTTCCACCCATGCTGAGCTGTGGTTTTCTTGTCTCTGGGGCTCTGGGCCAGCTGCCAGCCTATACCCAACCACCTTCTGCAGGGCTTCTGCTTTGAGAACTGTCACCTCCCAGGGTAGCCCCAGCCTTCACATCCTGGAGGCCTGGAGAGAGTGAGGGAGCTGCTCTCACTAGCTGTGAGCGCTGGGTGAGTCCCTTGGTCCCTCTGTGCTCCTGCCTCCTCTGTAAAGTGAGGGCAGTAATGAGGCCTATCTCATAGGACCCCATGAAATCTTCTCTGTGGAGGGTTTTACTCCGTGCCTAGCACAGAACAGGTGCTCAAAAAATAAGGGCTATTGTTAAAGCTGTTAGAGATCACAACTATCAAGCTTCTGGTTTTTTCCTGGCTCCCAGCTATATCCCTTGATATGGAAAGGACGTGACTTATCACACCTTCTTTGTTGAGTATAACAAGTGCTCATTAATCACCTATAGGTACTAGGTGCTGTGTTGGGTCATGGGGTTATAGTAGTCTACAAGACCCAGTTCCTGTCCTCAAACAGTTTCCAGTCCTAGGACACTCCCAGAGGCACCTTCAGCCCTGATTATCTGGGAGACCACCTCCGCCTTCACCCCTTGCTTCCTGGGTTCTCTCCACGGCCTCTCTCTGCTTCATCTTGTTCTCCTGCCTCTGTCAGTGGGGACGTCCCTTCCCCTCACTGTGACTATGGGATGGGGCGGTCTGACCTAGGGGGGTGCTGTGGCTGTTGCAGGGGGACCCCAGGGCTTTCCTGGCTCCGCAGACGTTGCCACCATCAACTCCACAAGTATCACCCTCTCCCTGTTCTCAGAGGAGCCAGAGTCCAGCCAGGAAGCAGATGGAGCTCTGCAGAGCACAGAGTCAGGATCTAGAGGGTCTGCGCCACCCAGGTGAGTGACAGGAGCTGAGCCCTGACATGGGAGGAGTGGGAATGGGTGCACTAGGTGGGGAAGGAGACCCCTGGGCGGAGTAGCAGGCTGACCTCACTGCTCCTAAATCGTCGGAGGGTTCCTAGGCCATAAGGAAGCCTTGCACCCCTGACACTTGAGCTGTGAGGGTCCAAGTCCTTGCCTCGGGGACCTCCTCAGCCTGCCTTCAAAGCCTTGGTAAGCCCAGGACTCCGTGAGGGCCTTCTCTTCCACAACACACCATGCTGGTGAGCACACATGCCACCCACAGCCATCTCCTGCCCTAGCTGCTCTCTGGAACTCCAGATCTGCTCCAATAGCTTCTCCTGGACACCTCACAGGCCCCTCACGCAACTGCTTCTCCCACATCCCGGCCAGCACACACACTGTCCTCCACACAGGGCTCACGCCCAGGTCCAGGCATTGTTGTAGCTGTTCCCTGTGCGGTCTCCCACTATCCCCCACTGACAAGTGATCTCTAGTTCTGGGGTCCCTGTTTATCACTGCTTCAGCCCTCTGCTGCTTTGCTGTGCAAGTCTAGAGCCCCTCCCTGCTCTCTGCCCTCACTCCTCCCCCTACAATTCCTTCTCCACACCGTAGTCCAGGGTGTCTTTTTTTTTTTTTTT